GGCTGTGATACGGATTGATGATGAGAGTGAACTGAACCTCATTCACTTATATCATCTCATGCAGTACATTTATAGATTCGGACAGATGCACCAAGACAGTACTAGTTGAAGACGGAATAGAACACAGTTATTTATTGATTGACTGTATTGTTTTATTGTTTCACATTATTTAACCAACTTAAGCATTGTAAGTGTATATGTTATTTTATATTGTGTAATAATTGGTCATAACTTTATAGAATTTTTTTGTCTCTTGCTTTTATGTTTTCTTTTCACACTCCCCTTTACAGCTAGTGCTTCGGCGCTTGAAGATATGTATAATAAACAAAATTATAAACATAAATTACTGTATAATTCTTTTTTAAAGACTGTGCTAATGTTCGAATTTTCGAGTAGTAGTTTTGAATCATACGCTATTCGACATTCGCTTCGAGATTAACTGCGATATTCGTATTTTTCGAAGGGCGGGTTAGTCCCGTTGACCGCGCTTCTTGCCGAGCGCCGGTGCACTGCGGAGAAGCAACACCCACAAAGCTCTCTTCCGCGGGTGTTTCTTCTCCGCTCTGCACCGGTGCTCGGTAGGAAACGCACTCTACGGGGCTAATCTGCCGGAATGGACAGAAAACAGACTTAGGAAGTAATCCGTTACTTTTTAAAGTAATTTTTAATTGCCACGCTATTTTTTGCGGAAGTAATTTGTAATGTAATTTCGTTACATAATGTTGGTAACGGATTACTTTAATTACTCCTTACTTTTAAAAAAATATGAGCATGATACAGTAACTGGGGCGGTACGAGCAGAACATTCAGCAGCGTAAAGGGAGCAAGTTCAACGAAATAGAAAACATCAGGGAGGGGAGAGTAGCCGAAAAAAACACGCTTTTTTGTATGACCGGTAGGTCACTAGAACCACTAGAAAAACGGGCAAGGCATGTACAAATATACGAAAGACAAAGGTCAAGTAAGACAACGCCCAGTAGGTTATCCGTCGCCTTCCCGCGTGTTTTTCTTCTTCTCCCGGGCAGGAGAAAGCTCTTGTTCCCCTTTTCCAGGGATTATTTTCGTCATTGTAGTCCAGCTCGCTTGCACCTTTGCATTTAATTGCATAATAATCATTACCTTAAATTGCACTCTTCGTGTTTATTTGCTTTTGCCTTTTACACCACCTCACCCTTTCCAACTTCTTCGACGTCTCCCTCCACTTGCACAGACATCAAAAGCGGGTTCCCAATTTGCGTAACAGACTATGTAGCCTCGCGCGGGGGGTCGAATTCTCTCTGTATTTGATGTGCGCTTCTTTATTTTAGCACGCTCTTGAGGCACGGCTGAAAAGCGCCCGGCGCGAGGCTAAGAACATCGTCTTCGATTGTACGGACGATACTTCTTTTGGTTTATTTGTATTGAGGGGCATGGTGGTCGAGTCCACTCCTCACTTTACAGTCAACTGTCAACATAAGGGGGGAGAGGGGCATCTAAGGAGTGCTTACAGAGAGAGAGAGAGAACGATTGTGTGATCCTCTATTGTTTTGTGAGACCGATGGCCACCGCTTCGCTCGCTCTCTATGCCCTCCCCTCCCCTGGCCTCCACGAATATTGGTATGAAAGTGAGAACCGCTGAACGATCGATAACCCGTAACCGCCACTTTTTCTCTGACTGGTCGAATTTTCGGTCATGGAGGGTTCCGTCGTCTCAATCGCCATCTCTTAATGAGATGTTCAACATTCAGGGCATTAAGGAGAACGGAAACCTTAAGTGGCAATGCATACTTTGCTTGCCAAAAAAAAAAAAACGCATTGTCTTCAGCAAGGACAACGAACTCTAATCTACGGAAACACACCAAGGGAAGATGGGACACCTGCATTCTGCATTGGCTACTCATTGTAACGTTAGAACCAAGCTTTTTTTTTTTTTTCTTGTGAATAACTGGCGAAATACCCGAGTCAAAAGGAAGCTTTCGTAGATCGCATCTTTAGCTCCGAATCTCGTAGCGGAGGTAGAGTCTGCTACTGGAGCGTGCACACCGCTAGCTTTGTCTGCACAATACCAGGGATCATTTCCGGAGGCCGTAAGCTAGCGGGATGGCGGGTGCGGTTGCAGCTTTCGGTGCCTTGTCAGCTTACAGGTAAACGAAGTGCACCTACACACTTTCTCTTAAATAAAATATTTTATTTTTACAAGGACTACCATAATACGAGCGTATGAGAAACGAAAAGTAGTGTCGCAGAACATTTTTTAAAAATATCGAAATTCTTTCTATTGTTTTCTGGATAAGTGTACGGAGAAAGTAACGTGAAACTAATTTGTAGCGAAACAAGTAAAGTAATCCGTTACATTTAAGCAAAAGTATACGCCTCGCAAGTGGGCTCCTTTTCGTCTTCTGCGCATGAGAAAGGAAGTCGCGGTGACGTCAGAACGCCAAGCCCTGATTGGCTGATCGCGACCCCCTATCTGAGCGTCGTCTGCTCCTTTACAACGTCGTCTGCTCGCAACGTCGTCTGCGTCTGTCTTACCTTTCCTGCGACTTTCGGAAGTGGAGGTCTTTACGAGCGAGCTCGAATTCGCCTTTCAGAGAGGGCAGGCGAAATAACTCGAGCGGTACGTCGTTTTTTGTCTAACAACTAGCAGACGCGCATTAAGGAGGGAAGTCAAGGGACTGACTGGCGAGGTGTCCCGAGGCGCCGAGGGGCCGATGTTTGTTTGCTAAAAACCGAGAGTGAGCGTGTTAGTGTCCGCAATACCGAGGGCCGTTCTTTTTTCTTCCTTCAATATATCGAGTTGTGAGTTTGCGCTTGTCTCTTCTCTCTTCCCTCTTCTCTGTACCTTTCTATTTGTGCGCAATTTTAACCATGTTCAATCATTACCAACTCGCCCAACTAACCACTTTACTATAGTGTCCGCAAGTTCCCTCCCAAATACTTTTTCCCTCCTTTTGTGTGCGGCGAGACCCCTCATTCTTTAACGGCGTCGGCGGGTTGGCGCAGTTAACGTCGTCTGCTTTACGTCTGTTAGTCAAAGCGATGGCTGCTTTACCTTTCCTGCGTCTGTCGGAGATTCACCGCTTTTTCACCCGCGAGAGTCACCGTTGCCTCGGGAAACAAGGAGATAACAAGAGGAAGAAATTGACCTCTTAACCTAAAACTGAGGAGAGCGATCAAAGTATAATACGGGAAGGGTTCACAAGGGTTCACAAGGGTCGCGCGGGCATATTCCATTCAGCACGCCAGCCGGTCGTGGGCAGACGGTCGCCGAGTCGCGGAGTGCCTGCTAGGCCTAACCACCGTGCTAGCTTAATTGGTCGCGTTCGGTGGAATCGTGGCCGCTGGAGCTTTTCCCGGGTGTTTGTGGATCCAGCGTTCTTGTTCGTCGTGGTCTGTTTCAAGTATTTTTTACTTTTTTCTTGCTGCTTGAAGTCGGGACGCGTGAGAAGCGCACGTAGAAAAATAAACGTCCGTGGGTCGTCGCGACCGCGACGCTGTCGGCCATGCTGATTTGATCGTAAGAAGTGCGTAGACAGCTTCGGAGCTGTCGTAGGATTTCGTCGTAACCTACGCAAAACTTACGAAAATTTCGTTTCGTGAATACGAATTTGTTCTTAAAGACCGACTACCATTTCGCGCTTTCCACTTTTCCCTCGCTTCCTCCTCTCGCCCCTTCTACTCTGTCCACCGTTGCCTGTTTCTCCTCCCCCAGGGTGAGGAGGATCTTCTGCCTTGCAGAATCTCGTGTCTGGTCGTCGGCCTTTAAGTTACGTCTTACGCACATTTTTGGCGTAAGATCGTCTCGTGAATCTGGCCTCTGCACTTCCGAAAGCCGCAGGAAAGGTGAGACAGACGCAGACAACGTTGCAAAGGAGCAGACGACGCTCAGATAGGGGGTCGCGATCAGCCAATCAGGGCTCGGCGTTCTGACGTCACCGCTACCCCCTGCGCAAGAAGCAGACGAACTTGCCCTCCGCATAATTTGTAACGACAATCCATATAATTTTAGGCTCGGTAATTTGTAATTGTAATCCAATACAATTTTCATGTAACGAGCGCAAGTATGACAGAAAATCACAAATATCGCAGCGCTGGATGGTGCACGCGCGCGCCTGGTGTATTTAAAAAGAAACGAAATTTTTTTGAATCAGCAGCATCTTCAAATCAAACTACAAGAACGACAGAGATGTCCTGACAACCTGCATTAATAATTCATGATTGAAGGAAAACATAAAAGACGTTTACAATTCTCTGTAATGCCGAATTAGAGCGCAGCTCTTGAGGAGGAGGAGGGAAGGGTACGGAAGTGTACGGTTGTTGCCCCTTCTCCCCCTCCGTACCCTCCCATCCTCCTCTCCTGCTTCCCTCCCATTTAGCGAAAAATTCTCGCTAAATTTCCAGCTAAATTTAGCGGGAAATTGAGCAAAAACGTTTCCCGCTATGCCGTGAAAGGCTTGGAGAAACTATTCGATATTCGATTCGAAAATTGAGGAAGAGAATTCCAGTTTGGCAAGAGCCAATAGGGTGCTCTTAAATTTATTAGTCCTCGCGTATAATGGCTTAACTTTTAGGTTATGGTCAAGGCGCATGGAAAGGTGTGATGGCGGTTCTAAGTAAAGGCCACGAAAAAAGGAGGAGTAAAAGAATAGTTTGTGGAAGATGACAAGACGGGAGAAATTACAGTTCTTTCAAACATTGGGTATAAGTCGAGAGCGGATTTTAGTGCAGATAAGCTGGATTTTCGAGAGTAGTCATGTGATATAAAACGACTTGCCTTGTTTTGAACCGATTTTAGTTTGTTAATGCGATTGATAAGGCCACCGAATAGAGTTAGCGTAGTAGTTGACCTCGCGAACCTCGTCGCATTTTGCTGAAAGTTCGAGGGTTTCCAGTATCAGACAAAAACCGAATGCGCCTCAAAGTCCTCAAGTTCGAGAAAAGCGCGCTTTGGTTCCTCGCACCACACATAGAGGCCGCAAGCTTCGAAGCAATACGGGCATCATCATCATCATCATCATGGTCTAGCTGCCGCGTCGGTTGCCTTGTCCTACAGAGCCGCAGACACCAGCCAACCCAAGCCACCCAAGCCAAGCCCCCAAGCTAACCGATTCTTGACGTGCCCGAGGAAACAAACTTCATTCCATGCGTGTAACCTCCGGAACAAAAACAATGCTTCGGTTCGTCGTGCTACTACTCAGCTGCGCCTCGACCTGTGAGTATTGCTTGTGAATCATTACCACTAGTTTAAAACACCGATGAGTGTCGCGTACCGTGTTTTTTAAACACCTGGGGCGCGGCTGTTTTGCCATTTGCCAGTTGCATACCAGAGTTTCGCGTCACGCTCGGCAGAAGAGCTCTACGAGTCCCGCTTATTCCGGCGGTTGTTGTAGCGCCCGAACGGCAGTGCACCTTTCGCAGATGTGCACAAAAAGTGCGCCGACGAGGCTTGGACAAGAGTCGGTGGTTGCTGATCGCTGCCGTCGCTCGCAGGTCACAGCTTGGAATGCTACGTTTGCGACAGCCAGGACGAGAACAACGCCAAGTGCACGCAGACCATCAAAACCTGCGATCCGACCCATACACGCTGCCTGACGGAAGTTCGCTGGGGCAGTGAGTATGCACAGTTTCCATGTTTCCAAATACAGCCCAGCGTGCGATCTGCACAGCCCAGCACGAGCGTGTTCGTTGCTTCGGAAAGAGAGTAAACACCGTGCCACAGGCACGAACGCCGAAAATGGCACAGGCCAGAAGCCCCTTTCTGGAACCGTACAGAGCTACAGTGAGTTTCCAACACTCCGGAGGGGGACGGATTTCAGTTGTATGCTGTCTCGAGTGCGAGCAACCGATCCCGTGAGTTCGACATCTAATCGGAGCCGCGGAAACGAGGGACGTCAACTGTGGCCCCGAAAAGTTTATCTCCCTCGCTTGGCTCCCGTCTTCAGCGAAATATACTTGTTTTATGTTGACTCCAAAGTTCAGTCGGACCTTCAACGAGATTTTTCCGATGCGAAGGTTTTCCGTTATGTTGACGATTATCTGATCCTACACTAAACCGTCTCCGACTCCGTAGCCATAGAGAGCGTGTTCCAGAGAACTCCCATGGGCTCACATTCACTGAGACCCTTTCCCCTGAGGGCTTACAGTTCCTCAATCTCAGGTTGGTCCCGACTAGCAAAGGCATCTGCTGGGCTCACCAGCAGAGGTCCTCTAAGCCCGTCCTCCCTTTCAACAGCTCACTCTAGGAATGTAAAAAATCGGATCATCCGAAGCCTAATTGCATCAGCCAAAGCTGAATCCTGTCTGCACCTTTCCGCCCCCAGCCTATCCAAGCAGATTAGCCGCCTAATCAAGGCAGGATACCCGAGAGACCCGATTGAAGCAACAATCAAAAGACTCGTCGTGGGGTACAGGTTTAAACTCCTCCCTCCTAAGTCATGCTTCGCATGCATCCCCTACACACGTAACACTTCACATCGCCTAAAATCCATCGCGCTCGGCTTGAACACCATCATAGTATTTTCGTGCAAGTTTAAATTAGCTTCTATTTGTAGAAAGGTCAACAACCCCGGTCCAGCACCCCCTTACCAGAAAAATCACAAGACCAATTATGTAACCTGCTGTAAAGAGTGCATTTATTCTATTCCCATGTCCTGCGGTGCTAGATACATCGGACAGACGAGCCGATGCCTAAATAAGCGGGTGAGGGAACACGTGAACGAGATCAGGAAAGCAGCCTCTGACACTTCGAAGATTAGTTACCACCCGATTGCCAAACATACCTCCAAGTGCAGCGAACCCTGTTCGGCCGACCTTCCTTCGACCACCAGGATTGAAGGTCATGCCTCAAGATACGAATGGGAGATCATGGAAGCCTTCGCCATGCACCAGAGCTAAAACAACTTCAGATCCCCCTCCATAGGCTTATCCAGGAGGGAGATAAACATCTTGGAGCCAGAGTTGAAGTCCCTTGTTTCCGCGGTGATTAGATGTCGCCCTCATAGGATCATCCTTCACCTCTTGCTTCTACTCCCTCTCCCATCGCTTTTCCCGCTTCCACTGTGGCGTTTTTCACCCTCCCCTCCTTCACTTATATATGCAAACTTCGGGTCAATAAATGTTGTTGCTAGTTGGAAGTCATTGTTGTCCGTCCCCCTTTCTATGGATCTCCCTTATGTTCAAGTACTGTTACCAACACGCTCGTTTTGCACTCAATTCTCACCATCTCTGTGACCGTAACAATGTTCAACAGTTGGCATTCTTACACATTGGTTTGTGCAGTGCCATTCAGAGCCACCCTAGAAATGTTTTCAGTCTAGCAATACGAAAGAAAGGGAGGTACAGTATCAACATTTTCATATCCGTCGGTCTCTACTTTTTTTTTATTCCCTAGATGATGTTCACATGATAGCTGAATGGTTGTGTGCGTTCTGAGTATAACCACGACATCCCCCAAAAAAAAAGCTCAGACAACATAGTTGGACAATCACATTCTCTCGTTTAAAGAAAACATACACTTTTGGACACAAATAGATTGCCTGGCTCAATTTTCGTGCCTGAAATATGTTTGTTCCTAACAAAATAGTGGGTTTTCAGTATCCATGTTTTTTAATCTTTCAAACTGTTGCAGTTGAGATCGGTACTGAGATAATAAATTATTTTCTCCACTTCCATAACTATGTTTGTCAAATGACAAATGTGAGTTCTAGATCAATTTAAGGGGGGACACTACCTGCAAACGTCAACTTTTGAACCGCTCACTCAATCCGCGTAATATGAGCAGGCGGGGTTTGTAGCCATATTAAAGGGCATGCAAAGTTTCAGCTCTGTGAACATATTTTATGAGGCACTATACCCCCAGAACGAAGTAAAGCATGGCTTTGCATGGAATCTGCTCAATGAATCTATCGTTGTGAAATGGTCTTCATAACCGCATATTTTTCTGGTGGAATGCATACTGGAATACCTGCTGCCAGTTACGATAAAAAGAAATAAAAAAGAAGCATTTTTCAAATAAAAAAAATGTATGAAAAAAATGTTTTGTTCAGATTTATTATGTTTTGCAAAATAAAGGAACATGAAAATGCAAAATCCAAGTTTATAGTAACTGGTTCCATAATATTTTGGCATATAAGCCCCTAATATTAAGTCTCAATAGTTTCATTCTGGAACACTAGTTTTATTAAGGTGGGATTTGCTGCCAAAAAGCTGAACTGAGAAAAAGGTATTCAAAATTTTCCAACCTCTTTTCTTTAGCGTCGGTGGACTGAAAATAATTTATAAAAGGATAACCAGGCAGTCTAAACTACTGAAACTTTCTGGGAATACTCTCTAGACGTTGGTGGATGTAAATGCGGCATTTTCCAAAATCAACGTTTTTTTGCAGAAAATTATTTTTTGCTGGGTAGTGTCGGCCCTCAACAAGCGGCAGTGAGTTGAATCTCGTGAGAAATGATAATACGAGTGTGAGTTTGCGAAAATTAAATGAAACAAAGATAGTGTTCTTTGTCTTCTACCATCCTCTTCCATTTGTGGTGAAAGCATCAGAAACATTAAATTCTGTAGTAACTAGCAGAATGAGAATGGTGGGGAGGTGCTTAAGCTGACCCACCTCCTGCTGTGGCAGACACCTTATTGTTTTCATTCTATCTGACTAAAAAAAATAAAAAGTGCTGACTCACTGTTGAAATGTAGGCACACCGTACTGGGCCCCTTCCGGTGAAAAGCAGTACTACATCAGCAAAGAATGCGCATCCGAGAAGTGGTGTGGCGAGAAGATTGCCTCGTACCGATACCGCTGTGACCGCATCTGGTACAATGACTGGGAGTGTGCGGAATGCTGTACCGGCGACCGCTGCAACTACTATGTGACGGTGAGCATCCAATCTTTCCCGCACCTCCAACCAAGCCTTAATCAGGAATGTTTTGAGGCCTACTTGGCCCATGGTCTCTACGGAGCAGTGTTTTCGTTTTCTTTTACGGTGGTGCATTTCTTTTTGGCTTGGTGGTACCGCAAACCCTGTTGACATAGGCGGATGGTAAAGTGCCGAGGGACCCATCAATGTTTTCCGGCATGGTTTGAATGTGTCATGATTCCAAGAAAAGTATCTCTCGGCGGTTAGTTTCACCGTTGAGGATGCGGGCGTCCTTAAAGTCATTGCAGTAGCCCTGGATGTTGTGCCATTCAATTTGCAACTCAAGTGCCCTGTATATGGCGGGGCGGTAGTTCCAAGATGGTGGACTAGTCGGAGATGGATCTTCTGTGCACCCGTTCGCCTACGTTGGTTGGAGCTGTGTGTTGCTAGCAGGGGCTTGTGTAGTCGAGCTGAGCACGTATTGAGCTCTCGTCCACAACCCACAGCTTACGATCTACGAAAAGTCCCCAATAAAATAAGGCATATCGATCCCTTTGTATGACGCTGTTGCGGGGCATAATGCAGTTCCTATCTTGATGCACCGCCTTTTTTTTTTTTTTTTTTATTAAAGCCACGTCGTACACGAACAGGCCAGCCAGAACCACGTTGTAACGTCAGCATCAAGCCCGGCAGTCCTCGCCGCCATCCCCGCTCGCCCTCTCGCGGCCAAACGAAGTACGAGAGGGGAGCGGGGATGGCGGCGAGGACTGCCGGGCTTGATGCTGACGTTACAACGTGGTTCTGGCTGGCCTGTTCGTGTACGACGGGCTGGAGTTGCAAATAGGTTCCTGGGCGCTTTGCCATCTGCCTACATCAACGGGCTTTGCAGTATCACTAACCCAAAGCGAAACGCACCACCATAGAAGAAGACCAAAGCAAAAACACTGCTCCTCAATGGCCATGACCACAATCACCCAAAGCTGACTTGCCGATCGCTGCGGCTATCTCACCCGGTGGGTATAATAGCCGCAGGAGAGATTTTGAGGTAAAAAAACTGGCCTTGTGGGGAGAAAGTACCTAGCATTCTAGCCGATTCTGCTCATTCAAGATATTGCCCGTCTCTTTCTTTAATTCTCACGTAACACGGCTTTCGTTGGGAGGAAAACTTGGCATGCCACTTGTAAAGTGCACAAATGTAGTTATAATTTCACTCCTATTTCAAGTCTGTTCACCCTTTTTCTGTGCCCAAAATCTTTCTTGGATAATCGAAATGAGGATGGACTTATGGCAGCCATTTGCCTGGAACGCTAGGTACTTTTAGTTTCTTCTCCTCGAAGAGCCAGTCATGCAACCTCAAGATCCGTCTGCAACTATTTTAACTGCCGAGAGATATACCCGCATTGTTCAGCAAATCGGCCCTGAAGAAAAGGCCAAGGAGGCCTCGAAACAGTGAGTACCTAGTTAGGGCTTGGTCGGACGTCTTTTTAAATTGTTCTTCCCCTCAACCACATAAATTTCTGTCGAACGTTCACATTAAAATCTTCGGTGCTGAAGCTCTAGTTACGACACCGTGAATTTAAGAACAGAGTTTATTTGGATGATGCTGCGGTGGAATGCTTGTCCTTCGTGTAGCCCGCATCTCGAGGAAAAAAATGACGACACAAAACGCCGACTCATTTCTGCGTGAAATGACAGGTACAACCACTACGCCGAGTTTTGACGTTCATTCATTTGGTTGAGCTCGACAAAGATAATGCTGCAAAATACCGAGCATGTGCACCCCCAAAGATTTAGAAATAGTTATCTCTCACTTTGTCAGATTGGGACCAAAACTCAAAACGACAGGCACGAGAAAGAAGCGGTATGAGGGCCAGTATCTGTGCTTTGTTTCACCATAATTTGGCAAATGGTGACGCTACGACGCCTTCGAGCCAATTGGAGCGACAGAGACGAAGCAGTGACGGCCCTTAACCAAGGGTACTGGGGCGAAAGCGTTACCCAAGCAGTTGAAGAAGAGGGAAAGGAAAAGCTCCCCTTTTAGCTGGGCCCTCTTTTGTACGTTCCGGATGTTGCCTTTCTTCCCCTAGAAGATTAGCAGTGTATGCAACTAGTGAGTCGGCATATAGTCGCACGTCTCCATCCGACGCACCAGTTGGTTCACCGGGACCGTAGCCCTTGCCATTTGCCGAGTTACAGCGAAACAAAGTAGAGTCGCAGACGGGACAAGAAAAGCGAGAAGGAGCTATTGTATTTTTCCGCTTCTCGCATGAGGATTGGCTCATGTCCTCTTTACCTACTCTGCACGGAGCGCTACTTGCTCCGACGAATAGGTTGTATGGAATTCAATACAATGGGAAACTCGCAGATGCCATAAGTGCGAAACAATTAAAAGTAGGCAACTACCGTAGCATCGACGTCGAATACTATCCTCATGCTGGGCTGCTACCGCTCACTCGTCGTGACCGCTACATCGAACAAACGTAAACAAGCTGTTGAGGTTGTTCGCCGGCACGCTATGTAAAGAGTGAAATGTGGCAAATTGTGTTCCCATCCTTCCTACTAAACATTCCGGTCCAAGGCGCGTTTGGGCCCGTAGTGCGGCTGAGCGTCTCGAGCCTTGCATCTAATTAGTTACTGTAGTTTCTTTTTTTTTTTTTTTATGGGGGACTATGTGCTTCTGTTGGTTGCGGATTCGGACATTGTAGCTCGATGGACGGTGGTGGTGCGCACCTCAATTCGCGGCCTGCCACTCTCAACCCGTCTGCGACTATAAAAGCCAAAACGTGCAGTCTAGTCTTCGCCGACGCTTACTAACACTTTTGATTCCGATCGAGACCTCAAAACGAGTCCTCAGAATTCCGTCCGACAACTGACAATCGTCGATTCGCGACGACGAACGGGCGTTGACCGTTGCGGCGAGTCGACTTGTTGCGATCTGCCATAACGGTCTTTGGGTCGCTGCATTCAGTGCGCGCGTAACGTATTTACGCGCTTCCGTGTGGATTGGATTGGAACTCGTGCAGGCTTTATACGTCGTTGCAGCCGGAGAGCTTTTTAATGGAGCTAAATTATGATCTACATCCCATTTTTGGGAGATAAATTTTTTCCGGTGTACGCCACAAAATCGAGAAGAACCATGACCTTGGAAATTACGGGACACAAAAAAACAAGGTATAACCTTGCTTCCTTCTTGGGTGGCAGAGAGCGGCGCTTATTTGGTAACGAACGAAAATGCGAAATTCTCCGATCACTGGGGGAGAGCTAGTCATGGTGCATGCTCGGTATTTTAGAGAAGGAAAAGAAGCGATAGTGATAACAAAAAAATGAGGGACCTAACTAAAAAAAAATCCCCAAAATTGTTAATCAAAATTAGTTTCCTCAGCCTTACCCGCCTTACTATTACTACGGGGTTCTTGAAAAAAAATGAAACCGTGGGTTCTGACCCGCGTAAATAAACTACGCTTTGAAAAAGCTGAAACTCCATGTGAATGCAACACTAGTGGTTGTGATGGAATGCAAAAGTTTGAAAACTTGACGTTGCCTGGATCAAAAGATGAAACACACAAAAATTTCTCTACAAGCCGACATTCACATAGGCCTAATATGCTGGGAGCAAGTTTGTGTGCTTCTTGCACAAGGGTTGGATGATGTCAGAATGCCGAGCTCTTATTGACTGACTGAAAAGAATAGTGGGTGGATCTCTAGGCATCTACTGGGCGACCCAAGGAGCGGCCAGGCTCTTCAAATCGACTGCGAAATTCGGTTTCTTAACCTATCGCACTACGACTTTGTGCAGCGTTGCCCACAGATGGTGCATTTTTTTTTTGTAAAATTTGCAAAGAGAGAACTTGCCTGAGGAAAAAGTGAAGAAAGAAAAAGGCTTCGCTCCTATGGAAACGCAGCAAAGCCACCGGTCTTCAAACAATACAGCACCGTTTCGCACAGGAAACGAGAGATGGCATAAGCGGTTGCGACATCAACTGCCGCCAGCGAACGAGCATATGGCGCCGAGAGCCGGCGTCTTTAGCAGACAATCTTTTCGACTCAAAAGCAGCGCAAGCTTTTTTGATATCAGTTGCCAATGCATTATTTTATCATCCTTACTAATAAAACATATTGAATGGACACATAATTAATTAAAAAAATGGTTTGTCGGGATATTTTGACTGTTTATTTTTCGGGGTGCTGATGTCGTCTGCTTTGCAGTTCCTTTTTGTTATCGCGCCTGTTTCTGGTTCTGCGACTGTCGCAGCCTGCGGAACGCGCGCCACTTTTGAGTTGAAACGATCGTCTGCTAAAGACGCCGGCTCTCGGCGCTGTATGCTCGTTCGTTGGCGGCAGTTGGTGTCGCGACCGTTTGTGCCATCTCTTGTCTCCAGTGCACAACGGCGCCGCATCGTTTGAAGATCGGTGGCTTCGCTGCGTTTCCATAGGAGCTAAGCCTTTTTCTTTCTTTACTTTTTTCTCAGGCAAGTTTGCTCTTTGCAAATTTTACAAAAAAAATGCACCACCTGTGGGCAACACTCCACAAAGTCGTAGGGCGATGGTTAAGAAACCAAATTTTGAGGTCAATTTAAAGAGCCTGGCCACTCCTTGGGTCACCCAGTAGAATTGGGGTCTACCCACTATCCTTTCAAGCAAAGCCAGTCAAAACTCTGTGTTGTTTTGACGTCACCGCAACCCCTACTCAAAAAGCAGACGACTTGCTCTCCACATTCGTCAAATCAAGAAATGGCATTGTAAGCATCTGTAGTAGTTATTTCACTAAAAAAATTTGTTTCGCAAAAAGACACTCACATTTGCTTTCTTGGTGACAAGATCTGACTGAAATAAATTCCACAGGCACCCAGAATGCCTTGGTTTGACAAATATTAGGCTTAGGTTTGTTTCTCCGTTTAATCTTTTGATCTAGGTAATGTCTTGTTCTCAAACTTGTGTATTCTATCACCATCCCTAGCAGAATAATCTGACAATTTTTCGGCTTTATGCGTCGCATAGTTCATTTATGCGGGCCAAAAAATCCGGCCTCATTTTCTCTCGCAGAGTCTGCGGCTCTCTCGCAGTGGAGGCGTCGTCACCACGCATAAATTTTGGCAAAGAAAGACGTTAGCGTTGTCATTATGCTAGGTTTACCCCAATCAGAGTTGTGTCCCACGCAACGTAAAAAAGGAAAACAAAAAATATGGTAGAAATTTCCACGCCTGGTCCATGAAGTTCACTTCCGACGCACGCTTGCCGTCGACGCTCTCGCCGTTGTGGCGCTTCAATGGTCGGGCCTGACCCGTGACATCCGTGGTCGTTTAACACTGGCCGCTCCTTGTTTCACTCTCCGCGCAGCTTGGCGGTTCGAGAGTCTGGCCTATCACCTGGTTGTACCTGGTCACCTGCGCCCTCGGCATCCACGTCTTCTTCCGGGGCTTGTGACGTCGTTGCATCAGCCTGGGGGGGAGTCGAGACAATGCCGGATTACGCCGATCCGCGGCGACACCTACAGCCAAGACGTGACCGGCAGGTGTTAAGAGCGTCGGGGGGACTGAGGCAACGTGTTGGGCCGATTCTTCGGCAGTGCGTGCCGATATGGGTCCTGTTTGGACACTCGAGAGTTGCACCCACGGGAAGTCGATTTGCATCTATGGCGTATCGCCCCCAAAAACAAGCGGTGCTTCTTTTCACCGCAAGAAAAAGCTATGCATTACCTAACGCTCATTCTGCGCCCAAATGTAGAGCTAGCGGTTTGAACCCGATATAGAAGTTTCAGAAGTAACCGTTATCTCAATCAAAAGTTGCGAGTGGTTTTCTGAAAACTTAGTTGGGAAAATCGGGCTCATTTTCGCCCGTTTTTGGTTACTGCCGCCATAGAGCTTCACGTATTCGAGAGCTCTTCCCATTATTTTCCCATTATTAATTTCGGAAAATCGCTTATAACTTTTGAATGAGAGTGGTTAGTTCTGACCGCTAGCCCTACATTTGTGCAGAGAACGAGCGTTCCGCAACGCATAGTTTATTTTTGCTGTAAGAAAAAACGCCGTAAATTACCCGTAGAGCCGCCATTCCCTTCCCCAATTTTCTTACAGGCGCCGTCATTTTGGTGCCCACTGCAGGTTGGGTGCAATCAGCGATTGTTACAATTCGAAAATGAGACTTCAGAATATTTTGGGTGCGGTGTCGGGGAGGTGCGGGCAACACCGTTTCGTTCTGTCACAGACCGTTTTAACATTCCAGAAGGTCGGAGAAGCGTTTCCTCAGAGTTTAGGTTGAGCTTCAGATAACTGGCAACAATAATTTTAAGCGACGAGATGGCTGAGGTGTTGTTACTCAGAAGCGTGGCTTACTTAGGCGCTACGTAGCCACCGACAATGGGAATGGCGGGGCATTTCTTTTCCATGCCTAGCCTCTAGCACGCGCCCACTGAAGTTTACAGAATGCAGAGTGGGGCCCGGGACAAAAAAAAAAAATAAACGCAAAGTTACAGTACTGAAATTCGGAACTCAAAGGTTAGACGAAATTGTTAAAAACTGGCTCTCCGAACGACGATACTGGATCAAATCGAGGCACGTTCAATCGGGGGCCGCTTCCTGGCATTTTACGTGTTGCCAGATGCGAGGGCAAGTCCATCGGACCGTTTTTGTTTCGACTAGTAAGAGCCTGTTTTCACGCTACGCCTTACGCCGTTGGATGTTTCGCGGCGCCGTCGAATGTTTCTGCGGCCAGATTGACCGCAGCATGCCGCTAGAACTCGTTAGAAAGACGGGAGAAAAAAAAAACCTTGACCTCGCTTCAAATATTTTGACATGGTCTCGAGCATAGAGTAGGATCTTAAATGATTGAGGAGCGAGAGCCTAGAGCTTTTGGAAAGCAGAAGAAAAGGTTAGCATTTGTCCGGGTGCCGAGCGGCAGACACATTGGCGTTTTGAGAAAACGACGCTCTCTTCGGCTTGGAGGCAGTCGGGCTAGAAAGCCGATTCCGAGAAAATGTAGTGGCTCTGAGGCATGACTGTAATACTTTGTAGTTCATTAAGCGCCAAAAATGGCAGATTTGGACAACTTGATTGGCCCCTCGTGAGATTTTGGTTTGGCGTACGGAGAACCAAGTATGTAGCGTGCCGTGTCAAGGACGAGATTGTTTTAGTTTTTAACGTCTCTGTATTCCACTCACCCCTAAGCCGAGACTTCTGTGAGAGCAAGTGGTCTATGACTGGTCTAACGAGGACATAGCTTCCACCGCGGTCCCAACTTGGGGGTCAGTGGAGTATAGAACGGAAAACGGTCAGGTGACGTAACTTTTGTCCGCTTGTTTGGCTTGTTGATAAGCCGCCACCACGAGCTAGTAAACAGGTAATTCCGTCCAGTGTTGCCAGCACCGTTTGTGTATGGTAAAAGAATCTCATGTACCTTTCCGGAAGGTTAACCAATTTTCGTGGCACGCGTTGCCGCGTAAGCGTGTACGGGTGATATCCTGCTCGACTTGGACATTCCGCTGTAGCCGTTTTTAGCTTTTTATCTGAGCGTTTACGCAGAATACATCCGCTGTGTCTCATACGCACGGAGGATGTGCGGACGGTCGCTTGTTTACTATTACATTTTTTTACAAATGATCTGCCACGTCGCGTGACACTGTTTTTTACACCCTTTTACGCGTGCTGCAAAGGCTTTGTGCCAGGCAATAAAGGTACTTTATTTTCGGTACAAACGTGCGCCATGTCTCGAGCTGTTCCCTTATTCAAAGTGTTCCCTCTTTGCACGTGGATGTGCCAAGGTCTCTATATACTGAACGGTAGCGCAAATCAGTCCGAAACGGGAAAGAGAAATTTTTCCTCCCACGCCCTCTCTCTAAAATCTGATTGCTTTCTTTCCTGAATTGGATCGGGCTCGACTCGTAATCCGAACCTTCCCATGAGCCCGTGTGAATGTCTCCAGCTGGTTGTCTCACTGGAAACGACGCCGTAAGGGACCATCTGTGGTTTACGGCGTGGATGCAGGTTTTTGTTTTCTTGTAACGCAACCTCGGTGGCAACGCGATGCCAACCTATCGCGCTGTGGGTCGCGCAAAAATGGTCGCGCCCATTTATAACGAACCCGGATACAGCAAATTACCGTCTATATCAAATGATCGAACGAATATTTCAATTGAAAATGTGCATAAAATATCTCTCTATAACGAACAACCTATTGGCTATGACAAACTCTGAAACAGAAAACGGCTCGGAAACGTGCAAACGGCTGTCCTGAACCCGGGTTTGGGATTATTAACCCGATTTTCTCTATGGTTTCGCTGGTTTCGTTTAGATTTTGGCATAGAGGGAGGACAATCTCCTTCAAGAACATAGCTGCCATACTGTCTCGGAAAAAAGGGTAAGGGATTTCTCTTCGAAGTCGTGATGCTCCGATCCAGCAAATGTCCCAGCAGAGGAAACAGTTGAACTGGAATTGCTTCCTGTTTTATCTATTAGCCCACATAGCACATTATCAGTTACATTTTCTCGAATTAAACTTTTTTTTTTCCAATCCACAGAAGTACCTACATACGAGTGTTTACTGCACATGTAATGTCACTAAGTTGTATTTCAAACTCACGGCATTAAAATTCACTAAATGCGTGTCTGAAAGAGTTTGCTATAAACAGGTTCGACTGTAATATATTGCTAAATGGGACACATTTTTTCTCGTTCTGTGGAAAAAAAATCTCCAAAAGTTTTAGGATTTTTTTTTTTTTTTGATTTTTTTGTTTTCGTAAGGAGCCATGTTTCTGTGAGGGGAACGGAGCTAAGCGAGAACATTTGCCTGTCAAAGTAGCTTTGAGCCCTGTACTGCAGTTTCCCCGTTAGTGGCTTTTCTCGCACAGTGTGACGATATTGCTTTGCTACCTTTTGGAAATGGTGCACACCCAGATTTACTGCAAATTTTTGCAAAAATTGACTTAGTTTTGGCTACTGGATTTGGGTCATTTTGAAAAAAAAAAAAGAACTTGATATTTAGCTGCAAGACAGAGCTGCTAAACCAGCAGTCTTGTTTACCCATTAAATGTACCTGAATTTAATGGGTGTAAATAGCGGATGAATGTGCAAGCCGTATAGACTATTATACCGGGTGTCTCAAACAGCGGCCAGGCTCTTTAAATCGACCGCAAAATTCAGGTTTCTTAACCTATCGTGCTACGATTTTCTGCAGCGTTGGCCACAGGTGGTTAATGTTTTCTATTAAATGTGCAAAGAGCGATCTTAACTGAGGGACAAATAAAAAAAGAAAAAGGCTTAACTCCTGTGGAAATGCAGCAAAGCCGTCGGTCTTCAATCAAAAAGGTACTCTATTGATTGAAGACCAGTGGCTTCGCTGGATTTTTATAGGAGTTAAGCCTTTTTCTTCCTTTACTTTTTCCTCGAGTAAGTTTGCTCTTAGCAAATTTTATAGAAAGCATTAACCACCTGTGGGCAACGCTGCACAAAATCGTAGCGCGATAGGTTAAGAAACGGAATTTTGCGGTTGATTTAAAGAACCTGACCGCTATTTGAAGCATCCGATAGACCTGCACTCGCATACGTGTGTTTTTAAGCGGCGTTCCACATTTTCAAAAACGTGTCATGTAAACAGAACCTCTGGTTCAGTGAAACAATCGGTAGCACTAAAGATCACCTAAAAATCCAGCATTGCATTTACACGCGTTGTGGTGCCCTTTATCTTCCGATCCCGAGCGACTCCAAATCTGAAAATAAACCTCAATTTTTTTGTTTTCTACGCTCGGAAAAAGATGCTCTCCGTGATCTGCCAGCTCTCGGTGCGTGTTGCAATAAACGGGTAAACTTGATATATTTCTGTAGTGCGTGTCCATGTCCCAAAATAATCGGTACAGCACTTTAAATCATCTGCGTTTGCCTTCGTTTTGTCTTCGAAGCCGAGCAAATCCAATTCCGCTTGCGATTACATTAACCGTTCGATATATCCATCTCGCACTAATGAACTCGAATAAAGGTGCAGAAACGCTAGGTCTTTTGCGTTGTGAAACAGAACTGTCGTATTTCAGGAACAAACTTTTCCAGGCCGTCGTATACGATTCCAAACGATTGTGGGCCGGCTCGCTTAGGCGCGTCTAGGCATGTGTTGCAGGGTCACACTCCCCGATTGCGGTGGGGCGACTGCGAGGAGCGTTGAGCAAAGAAAATTCGCCTCGATGGAAAGGAGGAAACGGCACCCAAGAGGAAGTTTGCACTACCTTTCAGTATGTAGGGACCTTAGGACATGCAGCTCCCTAAGTATTGCAATACTATACTTCGTTTCACCTTATGTCGTACCGCAGCGAAGGCTAGAAGCGCGAGCTCATGGCGTTGGCAGCTGCTCCTAAGTCACGAGAGCTTGTGTCGCCAACATGTGCCCCAGAGCAAGGAGCTCGCGCTTGTAGCCTTTCCTGCCGTACTTCATAAGGTGAAACAGAGTATAGGAAGCTTATTATATATGCTCTTAGAAATTAGAAAGGGTCTCAATATCAATCTGACAGCTGCTGAAATTTTATAAAAAAGTTATCATTTAGCAATGATGCATTGACATTTTACTATTTTTATGTAACTCGATAGACTGTGCCCTCAAATTTGTTGAGGTCGACATCTTTTCATATTTTAAATCGTTCGGAGAGGTTTAGAAGTTTCTTTGGTGTTCAGTGTTGATCGGAGAAGAATTAAAACAATCACTAGAGGACATTTTCTGCATTAAACTTGAAATAAATTTGTTCTTACACACAGTGACATGCGTCTCGTGTAGCATCGTCAGTTTTGTGAGCAGCTGAGCGTGCACTCAAAGGGGCACTATCCTGATTAGTGGGCACCAAAGTACACAATGTTCAGCATTCATGCTGGCCAGGTTAGTCAGAGGCAGCAGGCAGCAACAGTGAGACAATGTTAGTGTAAAACGATTTTATTTTTAAGGACACAGTTGTAGACATCTGGAAGGAGGAACAATGGAAGAATGTAACATTTGTCCCCCCAAAAAGCAAAAACACATACCTGCTTTTCCTTTGGGCACTGCATTACATATTTAAGATCTTTCTGTTTTTAGCATTTTTCTTCGACCTCAGGCAAATACTGCAACAACGAAAAACGATTGTGCTCGATATAACAATGTGCGACCAGAAGAAAAGTAAAAAGAAAGGTTGCGAGCAAATGTGTGGAGACTGAAAACAACCCAACATGGCAAACAATTTGTGTTGCTAGCAAGTTGCTCGCCACAGTCTACGTTGCAACCAGGAAAATCTTTTCGTTTGTGCGTCGATTTAACGACGAAATTGCCTAAGATTTCTCTTCGCCGGTGCTACGCGATAAACTACATACTTCGGAACTTGCAGATAATGAATTGAGCTGTACAGAAGACGCTGTGGTGAAGCTGTAACAAGCTAGTGTTCTACAACTGTTCAACAACAAACAGTTTTTCTCTTCCGCCCCGTCGCCTACTTTAAGACACGTGCAACTCAGCAGCTCTTTGCCTTTGGAACGCAAGCTTGTTCAGAAACTAGAAAAGAAAGACGCAAGAAAAACATGCCGTTTCTCGGACGCAAACCAAACTTCACAAACACGCGCATAAAGTTTGTTTTCTTTGTTCTCCTTTTAGCTTTTAAGTGCCGAATGCAACAAAAAACTGGGACTCTAAATACATATTGCTCACATTTCGTTGTATGTTAGATGGCTGAAACCCTAAAACACCTCAACACATTTATTCTACATCCATGGAAAAAAAAAAAAAATGAATGTGGGTCGAAATGCAGGT